CAATTGGCCACGTAGGCCCCCCAAGAGGCCAAAATGGCTCCAAAACCTAAGGAAATTCAATATGTTTTGCTTTCTCGCCTTCTCGCTTCCGATGGCCATTCGAGGCCTCAAGATGGTTCCAAGAGGACCCAAGAGGGCCCCAAGAGGGGCCCAAGATGGCCCCAAGACGGCCCTAAGAGCGCCCAAGAGCGTCCCAAGAGGGGTCCAAGAGGCGATTTTAGAGGCTCCCGAGGGGGGACGCTAATTGGGGGACCCCCTTCCTTTGATCGATCACCTCCAAGATGGCCCCAAGAGCGCTCCCAAGGCTCCCAAGAGCGCCCCAAGAGGGCCTCAAGAGGCGCCCACGTGGCCCCAAGAGGTCCCCAAGAGGCCCTCAAGAGGCTCCCTAGACCCCCAAGAGGCCTCAAGAGGATCCCCGAGGCATCCAAGAATCCCCCAGGCGCTCCAAGAGGACTCCAAAACAACTTCCAAGAGACATCCCAGGAGGCTCTTGTGCACGTCATTGTTCGTGTTCCTTCTCATCTTTCTCATCCTCCTCCTCCTCCTCCTCCTCCTCCTCCTCCTCCTCCTCCTCCTCCTCCTTGTCGGCCTACTCCTCCTCCTTCTCCTCCACTTTATCAGCCTCATCCTCCTCTTCCTCCTCCTTTCCTCTTCTTTTCCTCCCCCTCCTCATCCTCCTCCTCCTCCCCCTCCTCATCATCCGCCTATTCCCCCTCCTCCCTCCTCCCTCCTCCCACTTTTCCCACCTGCTGCCCCTCCTCCCCTCTCCTCCTCCTCCTCCTCCTCCTCCTCATCCTCCTCCGACTCCTCCTCCATCCTCGCCCTCTTGGGTAAGACGGGTCCCCCAGCCCCTTGCTACTTTGTATGCCCCCTCACTTCCCTGATCACCGCAATTCGCCTGGGCATCGTTTTTGGATGGGCTGGTGAAGATACGCGAAGCGTCAAGAATTTGTTCATCATTTTATATGTAGCTCGCGGGTGAACGCGCAACATTACGCCTTCACCGCGAAATCGCGCGCCCCAAAGCCCAGCAGCGCGACCCCAAGGCCCCGGCGCCGCGGGCGGAGCGACTCCCACGGGCAGACGGACGAGCCACAAGACCGCGTGAAGGAGGTGAAAACATTGCGGACAATAGAAAACCCCGCTCTCTCTGAGAGCCAGCGGGCACGGATACCGGGATGCCCCGCCGCCCGACGCGCGCAATTTTCCCGCGCGAGGACAGGCCTGACTGGAGCCAACTCCCTGAGGTAGAGACTACCCCGACGGAAAGATACGACCGGCGCTGCAACGCATGCCGAAGCAGGCCCGACCACACACTGAGTAGCCCGACTACGCCACGTCGTCGAGAGAACCGACGCAACGGGCGCCGCTCGGCGCCGCAAGCCCGCACATAGCGCGCAGGCTGCCTGAAGAGCGGGCGACGCGCAGCGTGGCATCGCCCAGAGCGGACGAATGGCCGAGCAAAAAACCGTCCTGCGCCGCTGCTTGCAGCGCCCGGCAAAACGTGCCCAGGCGACCGCGCGGGCCCTGGGGCCCGCGCGCGCGCGGCCACCTCGCTGACCAATAGGGCGGCCTGCGGGCGCGCGCGGGACCGCAGCGGCCCCCCCGGAGGGGGCGCGGCACGCCCAGACTGCCCGCCGCGGGCGGCCCCCATCGCGCGCGCAACAGCCCGAGGAGCTCCCCTCGGCGCAAAAGCTGCTCACCGCAAGCGGACGCAACGCACCTGCGAGGCATGGAGCTCCCCGAGGCCCAGTTGCCGAACATGCACCTCTCATGATCAACGAAGCCAAAGGAGGAGCCGACGGCGTTGAAGAGGAAGCGGGGCGAGTGCGGCGTGGATTCCCGCGCAGAGAGCTCGCCGATGGGGAAGTCCCCCTCGGCGCGCGCGGGCACGGGCCAAACCGCGGCGACTTGTTCGCCTTCGCTCGCCCAGCGGCGCAACTCAAACATCGCACCGTCACGGCTGATGCCCGGGAGACAGTAGTCCAAGGCGCGCTCGTGGACTTCCGACACGAAGTTCTGGAAGCAAGCATTCACCCCAAACAAGTCCATAGACGCCGCCACGGAGAGCACCCCAGGGCACGTTGGAAACCCGCGCGGCCTGCGGTCGCGGCGCACGCCAAAGACAGCGCCCTGGTTGATGCCGCAGGAACGTGGCACGAAACGCTGAGAGTCCTCTCCGCGCAGACCCGCGTGCGCTAGCAGCGCGACCCTACCCGCGATGCCGGAGCGCACGGGGTTGGAGGCGTTGGTACAAACTGACTCAAGCTGCTTAATGTGGCATACCTCGAAAGGCGTACCCTTCTGAGGCCCCGTCGCCTTACCCGTGCCAGAGCAGTTGATCTCGGCTGTGACAATGCTCGAGGACACGGGCAATTGAAAAGGAAGGTCAAAAATCTTGCACCACCAGGCAAGGCTGGACGCTGGTGTCTTGTGGACGGATGTCCACTTTTCCTGGAGGAACGCCAAGAAGTCAGCGACGTCGATGTTGGACACCCGC